GGGTTTTGGAAGAAAGTCAATTGATTATGCGAGACTTCACTAATTCAAAATGCGACAGACACAAAACGGGTATCGACAACCACGAGAAACTGACACTCAAATAAATTACGCGATTTTAACAAAGAAATACAAATTTATTAATAGAGAAATAATATAAAAGAAAAATGTAAAAATGAACTTGAATAACAGATCAGTTTGAAAACGACGGTTCACAATAAATTCAAGAAAATACGAAAGCAAAATACACAATCAAATTAATCTTGGTACGAATAATAAGGCGTTATTCAAAGCAAATGTTCGCTTGAAATCGACAACCGAAAACGAGAGCGCTAACACATTCCTGTTGTTTATCCGAGCCCGTTTTTATGGCCGGAGTTTGCGGGATGGAACGATATTTCTCGAAAGACAAAGGATTTTCGGCACGAAAACATTCGCGGATAATATTCACTCAAAAGATATCGTAATTTCGACAACCAAATCGACAATTTATCGCTACTGACTTTTCTTCACAATTTCGCAAGTTCGCAAGTTTAAACGACAACTTAATAGCTCGACAGCCTAATTAACCAGAGATCGGACATAACTAATAGTTTTGCGAAGACGGATCTCGTATGCGACAGGCGAACGATATTTTCGATATTCGATAGTCGACGGCGGTCGGAGATTTTTCTCTGCCGGCGTTTCGCCTCCTTCTTCCGCGAAAGCAGCTCAGATTTTACTCTCGGTCGTACTTTGGAGATTATTTCGCACCGCGACAAATTCGACAGACACAAATTATCCTTTATCCATTCGACGGCGTAATAAGCGCGACAAAGACGCAAATACTCTATTACCATTTATTACGCTCTATTCGACGGCGTAATAAGCGCGACAAAGATGCAAATACTGTAACGCACACCATACGATAAAATACAATAAACGCTTACACGTATACTTAACAATCGACGACGACATCCACGAAATCAGACACAAAAATCGCCCTGAGACAATTTACGGGAATATTCCACGCGGCAACGACGGCGACACGACAATACGGGCGGCGTACGCTTTTCGCGATCTTTCGCGCACGCGGTCGATAGCTACGCGTAATGAACACCCCGAAACCCGGAGAGAGACGAACGTTGTCTTATCAATTAATGCCTACAATACGATTGTCCGCTCTTCCTCGGTCGCTTGCCTCCGATCGCCCGAAAATTCACCAAAATATCGACAACTCGGTACCGAGCCTGACCGATGGCGAAAATGGCGGCGGCGGCAGAACGGCCGGCCGGCGGATCGAATCGCGTATGTGGCTCACAATCAAAAAGATGGGCAACCTCACCGATACTTCTCCTAGCGTTGGGGATGGTCCTCGGCCTCGTCCTCTGCAGGTATCTCGACAACGACACTCACAGGCTCACACGAAAAACGACAAGGATAGACAAAAGCGACTACTGTTATCGAGCGCCCGCACCAGAATGATCCCTGGATCTTTCCATCCCGGGTCGATAGCGGCGTCAATGACCGCGTAGAGGGGTGCGCAGCCCCGCGGCCAATCATATCGCGGCACGCGAGAGATCCTGGCGCCTCGCGAAATGCGAGGTATTTCGGCGCCTAGCGCGCAACGGCCTCAAATTAAAATTTCGCTGTCGCGAGCCCATTTTCAATGGCCCGGTGGAGGCTCAGCTGTCGTTCTCGCCTCTGCGGGGGAGGTAGCGCCGATCCGACCTTCGCTCTGCCTTCTAGAAAAAGGGTGATGTTGCCTGTTTGGCGTCTGGTCCCTCGACCTTTCCGGCGCTATTTCGTCCCCCGCTGGCTGTCGAGAGGCGCCATGTCGTCAGCCGTGACGTAAAATATCTCGATGCGCTCCTCGCCCTCCGGATCTTCTCCGGCGGGTTGCCCGCAATTCGCTCGATACAAAAAGAAATGACCAATAAAATTAATAAACGCAACAAAAATAATAATATGGCTCGTCTCTCCGGGGAGCTTGATTATGTTCTCTCGATGCGGATTCTGGCGCGGCCGCTCTGCCCGCGACCCGTTAAACTTATCGGGGCGGATGGACGCGCGACAGGACGGCCACGTCACAATATATATATATAAGAGGAATTCGTTTATGAGAAGATCGCAATTATTTAAACAATTGTATATTAAATTATTAGGAGTACAAATAAGTCTCCGCCGTTTTTTATCAAAAATTGAGCATTTATTGTGAAAGAACGGTACCTTATGTTTTATTCAAAGTATTGTCCATCGCTAGCCACTACTTTTTCCCATCTTTCTGGCAGCATATGGAAGAACTCTTCATCTTTTGAGGCTATCCATGAATCGACCCAATTTTTGGTATCTTCATATGATGTGAAGTGCTGCTCAGACAGGCCATGTGCCATCGATCGGAACAAGTGATAATCCGAAGGGGCAATGTCTGTTGAATACGGCGGGTGGGGTAGGACTTCCCAATTGAATGTTTCCAAGTAGGTTTTGACCGGCGCCGCAACATGTGGACGAGCATTATCATGCAGGAGAATAATTTTGTCGTGTCTGGAGTAATAATGGGCGCATTTTTCCTTGAGTGCTCGGCTTAATCTCATCAATTGTGTTTGGTAGAGAGCCCCAGTAATGATTTCGTTCGGTTTGAGCAACTCATAATACACAACACCAAGCTGATCCCACCAAATACACAACATGAGTATTTTTTCATGAATATTCGGCTTGGCCACGTGGTCCCCATGATTTCCTCTTCTTTGGGTTATCGTAATGGATCCATTTTTCATCACCAGTGACTATACGATGCAAAAAACCCTTTTGTTTATGCCTAGCAAGCAGCATTTCACATGTGCAAAATCGGCGTTCAACGTTTCTCGGCTTCAGTTCATATGGAACCCAATTTCCTTGCTTTTGAATCATTCCCAACGATTTTAAACGATGTGAAATTGCTTGTTGAGTCACTCCTAATGTAAGTGCAAGTTCTTCTTGCGTTTGGCACGAATCTTCCTCCAATAATGCTTCCAATTCTGCGTCTTCGTACACATTCGGCCTTCCGTTACGTTCTTTGTCTTCGACGTCAAACTCACCGTTCTTAAACTTATGAAACCACTCACGACAACTTCTCTCACTTAAAGCAGCCTCACCATATGCTTCTACAAGCAATTGATGCGCCTCAGCTGCAGATTTCTTCAAATTAAAGAAGTAAATCAAATGTTCCCGCAAATTACGCTTATTCGGCTCAAAACTCGACATTTTCGCACGAAAAAAATTATGTGATGCTAATACAAAATTGCTAATATTTCAAGGTTATGGTGTTGCCAGATGTCCAACCTTACGATATGACGTTTTACATCTGACAATTTCAACCATAACTTACTGGTGAGGCCATCTTTTGTCAAACGGCGGAGACTTATTTGTACTCCTAATAATTAGTTGCAGTAATTTGGTTTCAGTAATCGTGAAGCGTAGTGGCTGACAAAGAAAGTATCAGATAATGAGATCACGGATTTTGACAAACTTTGTAACGGAGTATCTTTCCCGATATCAAGAATCACCTCGCCGGTATCAGGGTTCGGGAGAAGGGGAGGCTCAGGCTCGCAGAACTACACGTGTTAATTTCGAACAAACTCTTTATTCCGAAATCCTTAAACTAAATTTAACAAACAGGTGTATTTCTAGAGGACGTGTACAACACGACGCGGATCAGATGCAACTTACTTACAAACACAGACCTTATTCTAAACGCCGGGTATTTATAAAGCTATCTCGTAGAGATAGGCACTGATGCGGACGGATGTGATTTACAGATGGTCGCGCGTAACCGGTCACGGACGTGGACGCGAGATATGTACAGGATGGTCGCGGGTAACTAGTCGCGGGCGCGAGATACCTACAGAGTGGTCGCGTGCAACTAGGCACGGACACGGATCTAACAGGGTCTGCCAACCGTAGTTTTAAAATATCCACTTCAAGTCAAATATCCAATCACCTCAAATTGAAAAAAATTTTTTTAAAAACAATTATAGAGTTCCGAAGGTCATATTAAAGGAAGACATTAGATTTTGAGTACAAGGATCCATGTGGACTAGTAAAGTCCAAATCAATTTTTTCAAATAAAAACTCCTACTTATTATAAATTCAAATTATATGCTTCAAAATGAAACAATTATTAGTCATTTTTTGTTAAACTCCCTCCAAAAAATCTAACACGGCGTTCAAATTTATTAGTAATGGAGTTAATCACAGAACGTTAATGATGCCGAGATATTGAAACTTTGATAAAATATGTTCTGCAAAATATAATGTACAAAGTTTGAAATAGCCATTGGATGGCTAGATTGAATATTGCCTCCTAGTTTCAATTGATAAAATAATTTTGATTAGTGTTTAAGTACAATTTTCTATAATAAGAAATAAGAGTTCCCACTTGAAAAACTTCAGCTTAAGACTGCATCCGGGCTCCGGATCCAAAATCTAATACCCCATGACGGCCCCTTCCAAACCTTCTAACTTTATTTAAAAAAGTTCATACAATGTTCATACAATGGTTCATAACATAATTATAAGGTATTTGAAGAGATATTTTAAAATGGAACATCCGGTATAAGATTTTTTTAAGAAAAATAATTGATTATTTCTCTGAATTTAATGTATGATGTATAATGACACCATCTTATGTCCCCTTTGAAACCATATAACTTTTGTCTGAAACATTTTTTCGTATATTTTAGAATTTACGTCATATTTCGATGTCTCAAGATAAAAAACTCACCCTGTATATTTCAATTAATAAAATTTATTTAAAACAAAATTAAACGCTACAATTTGGAGTTTCGCTAAAAAATCAGCTTTGTCATGTGCAATAAGTTAAAATACTATAATTGTAATACTACAATTGTTAAGATGATGAATTCTAATTTTCTAATCTATATGATTTAACTTTACGTTAAGGAAAACTGATTAATCAGTAACATCTGGTACATAAAATAATATTTTTTGTACATTATCCCTTTAATAATTTAACTACGTTCTAGAATATATCAACCGTTATTACTTGCTGCTTTATTGCGCTATTTTACGAACGATAAAGGAGAATGGAGTAACAAAGTGTATTATAACGCAATTGGTATAATTCTACTATCTATACTGGATACTTTTATTACACATTATGCTGTACATTATACTATGCATATAGGATTAAAGATCAAAACAGCATGCACATCATTATTGTATCGAAAGATATTGAAACTCTCCAATTCTGTGATAGATAATGAGACCTCTGTTGGACAGGTAAGCTAAGTACAAAAATAAATTAATTTAAAAACATTGTTGATATTGAATAGTATATTAATATATATATAAAATGAAGTTAGAACGACACAAAATCTTAATACAAAAGAATGATAAATTTGAGTGATTATCTGATGTAATTGTGAGTAAATCTGATAAATTATAATTTTAATTTACATTCCACTTTTTCAGATGATAAATTTTCTAAGTAGTGATATTACCAGATTAGAAACATCCCTAATAGATCTGCACTACATTTGGATTGCGCCCATTCAAATCATATGGATTACATATATTATATTTTCCGAAGTTGGATGGGCAGCAATAATAGGAATGTCGATTTTTTTACTATTTATTCCTTTTCAAGGTAAGTTTACTTAATCCTTTCGTACCTCCGGGACATATATGTCCCACCTACGAAAAAAATCATAATTTTTAAACAAATAATCCTATAAACTTCTACCTTGGCTTGTTTTAAAGAAGAAGATTCAAGCCATATGTAAAAAAATCGCGCACTTTAAAATGTAATCCAAAATAAAATTTGTAATAAATCCAAAATAAAATTAATAATAAAATATAATAAAATTAATTCATATAATTAATGTTAAGATTTCTGGCCGGTCTTTCTGCATACATAAATTAGATTTTATCAGAAACGAACAAAATAATATCATTTTTTACTTTTATTATATTTATTATTTTAAACATTTCACATTTTTTATATTTTTATAACAAGATAGTAATAGTTATTATGTTAATAGTTAATAGTTAATTGTAATAGTTAATTATGTTTGCATATATTTTTATTAATGTTTATATCTATTTTTGTTATATTATTAATGCATTTATTAAAAACTTGTTTTTAATTTAACAAATTAACCATCTTCATGCATGGCACGTTTCTGTTAATATTTGCTCATAAAAATATACAATTAATTTCATATTTATAATAAGATTCGATTATAAACAATATTCTATTATTTTTCGCTAATTTTTTCTTTAATTTGATGAACAAATATTGTTACAGTAGAAATATAAAATAATATATTATTTTAGCGTTTTTGGCGAAAAAAATCACACCTTTAACGCTTAAATCAGCAGAAAGATCAGATGATAGACTCAAATTAATGAATCAAATAATCACTGGATTGCAAGTAATTAAAATGTATGTTTGGGAAATTCCTTTCTATAATCTTGTGGAAAAAGCAAGAAAGTAAGTATATATTAAAATTGATTAACAACATTATAATGGTACAAAATCAGTTTAAATCTGTCATAAAAATCAAATACTGTTTGATTAAGTTGAAAAGAACATTACATACTTAATTTATACATAGAGTATTCAACAGTTATCGCACTACTTGTTATAGCAATTTTTAAAATTATTTAGAGGAAATTTGTTTAAGCGAAACGTCGAGGGACATTATAATTTTGTGCAAGTTCCAAATTTTTGCCATCATATATCTAATAATAAACTTTAAATTAAAATTTTCTTTACAGTTATTTTTATTCTAAAATTAATTCAAGAATGTAGTTTTGGTAATTTTTTAGCTTTTCATAAAGTTTAGTTTTTGAAAAACTCTTATTTTTTAATCGCTTATAATTTGAAAATTATTGACATCACTACAGTTTTGCTGAAAGAAATTGCGCTTACTTATATTAATGTTATAATGTTACAGATGCAATAAAATTCATTGTTACAAGTGCTAAAGTATTATCAGCGATTTATCGGTTAATTAATTACAATTGTTCAGGATTCGCCCTGAATTGTGAGCGAAAATATCACCCCCGGTAATACTGGCGCCATCCGTGCGCGCCAAAGCGAACTCGCGAAATAATTCCGTACGATGTTTTTTCAAAATCAGCCAGGATCCGCGTGATCGCGGAATAATATATGATCCTGGCCAATTAGGCAATCGGAAAATCACGCGATTTTACGTGCCTAAACCGGATAGGCTCAAATCGGATCATCCGATGCGCCATCAAATCCTTATTATCCGGGAGAAAGGCTCTCTCCCGAGCAGTCTTTGTCTAGTTCTGATCCGAGTTATTACGAGTCATTGCGAGCGTCATAGAGAGTTCTAACGAATTTTTACAAAAGTCATTTATCGAGCAGAGAGAATCGAAAGTTTGCAAGCGCGTTTGAAACAATAGAACGTGCAAATCGCGATTAGATTTGATAGACGAATTTCTGTAACAGATATCGCGACGGATCAACGGACAATTCAGTGAACAATAATCGATTCCGTTCAACACGTGAACGTTCTGAGCGCGAGTGCCGGGATTCGTCTGAGCGCCTCCACTCTAAGTCAGAGGTGGAGCCTGTCTCTCATTAAACCTTCGCTCATTCGTCGAACATTGGAAAGTACGGTCTCGCTCGCTCTCACGGACAGTCCGATAGAGCGCTGTCTCTCTCGCGCGTGCAGCCGTGAATAGTGCGGTCTCGCTCGCAATCACGTGGACGGCTGAAAGAGTGCCGTCTTGCTCGTTCTCACAGGCAGCCCGATGGAGCGCTGTCTCTCTCAGTTTCGCGTCGAACCGTGAATAGTGCGGTCTCGCTCGCAATCACGCGGACGGCTGAAAGAGTGCCGTCTCGCTCGTTCTCACAGGCAGCCCGATAGAGCGCTGTCTCTCTCAGTTTCGCGTCAAACCGTGAATAGTGTGGTCTCGCTCGCAATCACGCGGACGGCTGAAAGAGTGCCGTCTCGCTCGTTCTTACAGGCAGCCCGATGGAGCGCTGTCTTTCTCAGTTTCGTGCGTGCACCCGTGAATAGTGCGGTCTCGCTCGATCTCGCGAACGGCCGATAGAACGCCGTCTCGATCGCTCTCACAGACAGCCTGATAGAGCGCTGTCTATCTCTATCTCGCGCGTGCAGCCGTGGAAAGTGCTGTCTCGCTCGCTCTCACAGACAGCCCGATAGAGCGCTGTCTCTCTCTGTTTCGTGCGTGCAGCCGTGGAAAGTGCGGTCTCGCTCGCTCTCACGCGAACCGTGAATAGTGCGATCTCGTTCGCAATCACGCGGACGGCTGAAAGAGCGTCGTCTCGTTCACTCTTACAGACAGCCCGATAGAGCGCTGTCTCTCTCTGTTTCGCGTCGAACCGTGGAAAGTGCGGTCTCGCTCGCTCTCGCGAACGGCCGATAGAGCGCCGTCTCGCTCTCTCTCGCAGACAGCCGTTGAAGCACTGTCTCTCTCAGTTTCGTGCGTGCACCCGTGAATAGTGCGGTCTCGCTCGATCTCGCGAACGACCGATAGAGCGCCGTCTCGCTCGCTCTCGCAGACAGCTGATGTAACGCTGTCTCTCTCAATCTCGTGCGTGCAACCGAGAATCGTGCTGTCTTGTTCGCTCACGCGGACAGCTGATAGAGCGCTGTCTCGCTCGCTCTTACGTGAACAGCTGATAACGCGTTGTATCGTTTATATCTAATGAACAATTGTATAATGCGATCTCGCCGACCGAGTGCGAATCTCGACGTACTCAAATATCAGAAATAGAGTCGCATACGCATCGAAAGCTCATAAACTCTGTACATATTATGTATTTTACGCAATGAACTTATCACCACTCTTGTGTGGCTGTCACTGTGTTATCATCAAAGGAACAATCTTACGTTATTGCATCCCGTCACTCATCCAGTGCGAAATCACGTTATTTGCAAACTCGCGATACCCTCTCGGGTGTGTCCCGCCAAAACAAACTCGCAACTTACAGGTGCGATCCCGAACAACAATTTTATTACAATTTTCCTATAATATGACATATAATATAATACTATATATATATATATATATATATATATTGTGTATATATATATATATATATACATATATACACAAAAATTAAATCAAAATTGACATAAGAGCCACAACGCGGTAGTTGGGGTGCAGGGGAAAAAACAATACTTCCTTCTTATTGATTGTTGTTTATTTTAAATGTAAACGCTACATAAATAACGAATGTTTCTTCTTTGGTCCTTTTTCAGCGTGATTAATAATATAATATTCATAATATATTAATATTAATAATATAAAATCAAACTATTACATTGAAAATTAAGAAAAGTTTATCTCCTCCTCGACACATGAGGACTGTATCGTGCACGGAGATCTAGCAAGCCTGCTTCCAAAAGTTCATCAAATGTATTAAAATTTGCTGTGTAGAATCGCAGCAGATCTAACAGATCAAGTAAAAAATTAATTGTTGATATTATGTGTGAATTATTTTATATTTAAAATTGGAAACATAACTTACCAGATTTCATGCTTTTTCTTTTTCCATCTGTGTACAAAATGCCACTAAGTACAGTGATGCCAAAATGGACACACCCGCACCCGACAACGCAATAGAGGGGTTAGAGACGCAAGCAGAACCTGCGCACACATATATACGTGACCCGCGTCCGCGCGCACTCACTCCCCTTCCCACTCCACCGGCCGCCAGCGCATCCAACATGCGCATCACGATGCATTGCACCGATTGCACACAAACATATGAACCAACACTTCACACTGTTAATAACTTACCTATTATCGTCGCAAATGCATAATGAGAACCCCCCGTATCACTTCGCAAGTTCAAGCTATTTCTTTGTCGCTTGATAAACAGCATTTCAGCAATAAATCTTTTGTCCAACGAGAACTGCCTATCCAAATCTCGGTTTTTCTCAATTAATATATAATAAATTAATATATATGATTAAATTCGAGTCTATGATTAGTTAGGACTGAAAGTTGTGATGTATTACTTCGGATATGATTTCGGTGTTTAGAAATTCGTTTTTCTAATTATCTGTTAGTCTGACCGACATATGACGCCTCGCAATCATTGCACAAAACTTTATATACCACATTATTGCACGAATCCTACGGCATTACGTCTTTATAGACTCTGATAAAATTACAAAGTTTATTTAAACCGACATAAGACTCCCGTATCACGATGACGAATAACTTGCTTAAATTGTTCTGAAAAGACTGGAATGTATGGAATTGTGAAATAGGTGAAAGGTTTTCTTACAGGGTAATCCTTGCTATGCTCCAGACCCGCTCAACTACGAACCAATAGCAACTTCATAGCGCTCTCTTATTACACGGAAAATGTAAGACAAAGAATAGCTATTGTCCAAGAGAATGCCGATTATCAGCTCAAAATTCTTTTGGTGAAATCTAAGATGCGACATAAAAGACACGATCCAATCTCATGATTTCCCTCTTATAGCATAGTATATGATTCGACTTATAATTTCTCCCAGATATCTCCCAAAAAAAATAAATTTGTGATACCAATCGAATTGGATTGAATTATTGGTCACGATTATCATAACATCAAGAAAATTAAGAGTTTCCAACTCTTTCCTCCATCATGAATTGAAGCCTTGGATGAAAAGTATTGAAGATATCCATGACCTTGCCGAACTTAGAAAGAGGCGCCAAAACTATATCATCATCCACATATTTATAATAAAATAGTAGATTGAAGGGAATATGTCTAATTGCTTTATTTTCAAAATCTTGCAGAGTGATATCGGCAATGATGGGAAATAAGGGAAAGCCCATGAGAGCTCCAAATGTTGTCGCATAGGCGTGCGTTATTTTTGTTTGTTGGTATATCTTTCCATTAAAGGTGAAGAAAGTAAAATTTAATATAAACCGAACTACACTCAAGAATTCGTCACGGGAAATGCTGCATTTTTCTTCTATGAAACATTATCTTTCTGAGATGCTATATTTACTGGAATGTTAGTAAAAAGAGAAACAACATCCAATGATAGTAATCTAAAGTCATCCAGATCAGTGTTCCGATTAGGGATTCCGTGCGTGCGCATATGCGGTTCTGCGCATGCGCGACTTTTGAAATTACATTGTACTTTCACGGTCGCGCAAGCACATGCGCGCGCACGGAATCCCTAATCGGAACACTGATCTAAATGTATATCTGATAGTTTCTTGACCAATTTAAAGCTATTGTCAACATGATTATGCGTTTTTGGGAGCATAGCATCATAAATGATGTTATGTAAAAAAGCAGCCAATGAGTGTAAGGAAGTGTTGATTGAAAAGACAATGACCTTAAATGAACAATTCGGCTTATGAATTTTTGGTAATCTATAGACTCTCGGTAATGCTATTGGTGCAATTCAAACAACTATAAATAATATCGGAAATGTAATTATGATTTTTCCATCTTACTAGTAACTCATGCAGACCGTTAAT